ATGATATCTGAGTTGCGGGGTGATAAGTTTCTGATAATTTAAAGTTGCCTGCCTTCTCCGGTTGGATTTTTTTTTTTTTTTATCATTGCCTAAAGCTGAAATCCTCATAAAAATCTTTTAAGGAAATTTAAACGCGTGGTCTTCTAAAATTAATAAAATGACGTATTCCGGTTGAATGAAAAAATTTCGAGGTTCCGAGACAAACTTCACTGATTCTTCCTGACTTATCGAAATCCTGTCACCCTGGAGTATACGTCAGTACTGCCGTGCTAAGCAAAAACGCTGTATAACATTTGAGAGTTGCCAAATGTCTCCGGATATAACATGTATTTTTTGGGAAAGTTATGCTCATTTTTCCTTGAAATTTTAAAATATTTTAGATGAAATTGGGATTAAAATTGTCTGAAAATTTGCAAAAAAAACGATGACGATTTTCGTCGATAAATTCGTTTTTTATGGAAGGAAATATGGCAACGTCTGAGGGCTCTTACGACATTCTTTCTTGGCACAGTAGAGTAGTTGTGTAGCGTCATTGTGACCGTTCTCGAGAAGAAAGAGCTTCAGTCCACGGAAAATTAAAATCGTCATGTCGATGCCAGAGCAAAGAGGAATAACTTGGGAATAACTAAACAGAGGTCAGTTTCCACTAGTTGTAAAAAGAAGTCTCCAGCCAAAGCCCTTCAAAAGCTCGCTTGTTCAGGTTTAGGGTGCAAAAGTGCCGGATAGTAAGGCATCTTTATTTACACCCACTGTCGGCACACAAATGAATGAAACAAACTGAAATTTATTCTTCAGGCACCAAGGAGTTTTTCCTCGCAATTAAAATTCGGAGTTTTATTTTTTTACTAAACTTGGAAAACTGCTAGGGTTGCCACAACCTTATCATCAAGAATTATTATCAATCAATTAAACTCGAATCATAAAACAGAATAAAATCAAATCATAAAAAGATAAAACACATCCTCATGAATATAAAACACCCGTCGTAGTTAGATATGCAGTTCCTAGTTTTCCCGTTTGAAGTGCCCCCCCACCCCCATTTATATCTTAGATTCTGAAATCGCCACGATTTACGAGGTCAAGTCTACAACGCAACGACGCAAACAGATATAATACGTGGCCTCGCTTTAAAGCCATCGAAATTCCTTCTTAAAATTCACATTATTGTTTGTGCATCTTGATATGTTTTGTTCGCATCATTCTAGATTAATTTGACCAAATAAGCAACTTATCACTGATTTCTTCAGTTCAGTCGCTATTTTCTAGGTCCTTTTATTTCCTCCGACGAAAACTCCTGGCGCCAAGAGGCGAACACTTAAAAATTTCATAGGTTTACTTGGGGAGAAAAATTAATCTCTGGACACTTTCGAATTCCCATTCTTTTGCTTAATCAAGCGTCTCCTTTCTACGTATCTCGGATTCCCGATGTTAATTTACAGCTTAATTGAACAGCTTTTAAAAATAGAGAGCAGGGCCGGATTTACCAATAGGCTACATAGGCTGTAGCCTAGGGCGCAACATTCTGAAGGGCGCAAAATCTTTGAGAATTAATTTTTTTTTCTAATCTAACGAGTCTTTTGTTACTTTTTACTTTCCAAAACCAACTTGCAAACGAAAACGTACCTCAAAACTGTTTAAAATCGTGTTATTTTAAAGGTGAATTTGAACATTTTCCTGACACCTAACATTCTCCTTCTGGAGGGGGGGGGGTCCCGAGAGCGCCTACTTTTAAGGGCGTCACCTTAAGTTTAGCCTAGGGCGCTAAAAATGTAAATCCGGCCCTGCGAGGAGTAAGACTATGAGAAGTAGGTGTAGCCTTGTTGGTGTAGCCAGGATGGGTCAGTTTACCATCTTCGAAGGTCTATCTCAGCAACGTTGTGAGGGACGTCTACGGAGGACGGCGTGCCCGCCCAGCAGTGTTGGTGCGAATTACCATCTTTGTTGTCAACGCCTACCTGATCGCGGTTTGAGGTTTCTAACCATCATACATTTGTGCTCGTAGCAAAATTGTTCTCAGGGGTCGAATCTGGGTATCCAAGATGGTAAATGTCACCTACTCTCTGGCTGTAAGCACCAAAGATTTTTTTCCGTGCATTCACGCCTCGCCCCTAGTCACACGCGTTGCATTTCAGAATGAAAACCTTGTTTTGGAAACAAGCCTGAAAGCCCCGATAAAAATGGCACCGGTTGACCGATTTTAANTTTTTTTTTTTTTTTTATCATTGCCTAAAGCTGAAATCCTCATAAAAATCTTTTAAAGAAATTTAAACGCGTGGTCTTCTAAAATTAATAAAATGACGTACTCCGGTTGAATGAAAAAATTTCGAGGTTCCGAGACAAACTTCACTGATTTTTCCTGACTTATCGAAATCCTGTCACCCTGGAGTATACGTCAGTACTGCCGTGCTAGGCAAAAACGCTGTATAACATTTGAGAGTTGCCAAATGTCTCCGGATATAACATGTATTTTTTGGGAAAGTTATGCTCATTTTTCCTTGAAATTTTAAAATACTTTAGATGAAATTGGGATTAAAATTGTCTGAAAATTTGCAAAAAAAACGATGACGATTTTCGTCGATAAATTCGTTTATTAGGAAAGGAAATATGGCAACGTCTGAAGGCTTTTACGGCATTTTTTCTTGGCGCGGTAGAGTAGTTGTGTAGCGTCATTGTGACCGTTCTCGAGAAGAAAGAGCTTCAGTCCACGGAAAATTAAAATCGTCATGTCGACGCCAGAGCAAAGAGGAATAACTTGGGAATAACTAAACAGAGGTCAGTTTCCACTAGTTGTAAAAAGAAGCCTCCAGCCAAAGCCCTTCAAAATCTCGCTTGTTCAGGTTTAGGGTGCGAAAGTGCCGGATAGTAAGGCATCTTTACTTACACCCACTGTCGGCACACAAATTAACGAAACCAACTGGAATTTATTCTTCAGGCACCAAGGAGTTTTTCATCGCAATTAAAATTCCGAGTTTTATTTTTTTCCTAACTTAGAAAAGTGCTAGGGTTGCCATGACCTTATCATCAAGAATTATTATCAATCAATTAAACTCGGATCATAAAACAGAATATGATCAAAATACGCGACCTCGCTTTAACGCCATCGGGTTCCTTCTATGAAAATTCATATTATCCTTTGTGCATCCTAATATGTTTTATGCGCATCATTCTAAATTAATTTGATCAGATAAGCAACTTATCACTGATTTCTTCCGTTCAGTCGCTATTTTCTAGGTAATTTTTTTTCCTCCGACGAAAACTCCTGGCGCTAAGAGGCGAACACTTAAAAAGTTCATCGGTTTACTTCGGGAGAAAAATAAATCTCACACTTTCGAATTTCCATTATTTTGCTCAATCAAGCGTCTACTCTCTACGTATCTCGGAATCCCGATGTTAATTTACAGCTTAGTTAAACAGCTTTTAAAAATAGAGAGACCTCACTAGCTGCGCTTACATTATTTTGTAGTGCACGTCAGATTGCCATAGCTTCGTTCCTGTACGGAGCAGATGCCTAGCAGAAGCGCGGCTAGTGAACTTGGGGTCACATTCCGTGCGATCGGATCGAAGCACCCTCAGCACGTGGCACGGGATAATCGCAACAACTAGAACAAACTAGTTTAACCAGCGGAATATTCCACCTCGCTTCAATTACCGACGAGAACCAACGTGCAGCTTTCAACTCCATTACGATATCTTATCAGAACGGACTCGCAACGAAATCGGAACTGCAACTGAAAACGTTTGCCTTAAAAAGACGGTCCGATATTTCGGCGATGAGTGCATTTCCAATTCCATCATCGCAAAAACCACCGAAATTAGAGAAATAACATGGGAGCAACTACAAAGAACGAAGCTGGCGCCACTGGCGCCTACCTATCATCCGGGTTGTGTTCTATGTTTTCAAAATCCTCTTATTGCTCACAATTATGGCCAGATTAGCAACACACATCCGACTTGTTGAAGTCGAAAGGCCGATTTTACTCAGTCAGGCATAACCAGGTAAAAGAAAGAACGTCACATCAAGTCCCTAGCATGAAACCTGCAATATTTCAATGTCTCATCCTTCAGGTTTATTTTTAAAACTCATTAATGAATCTGCTCAAAAATTTCCCTCAGAATTTCCTATTGCATTACTTGGAAGGAAAATTAAGAAGAATCTTTCCAAAGAAATTTGGAGTAAAAAGTGAACTGAAGCAGAAAATGCTTCGTATGGATCGCATTCACCAAAAAGGAACCAGCGCAATTATACTATTCTAAAAATGTTGCTTCTTCATAATTATCTGATATATCTCCCAGTTTAGCAAATCATTTTGGTTTCCCACTGAAAATAATTGTATCAATTTTAGTAGTGTACAAATTTAGAGTGTTTTTATAAGAAAAGGAGAAGTTGGAAAATCTTGAAAACACAGTAATAGCGCTGGTTCCTTTTTGCTAAAAGCGATCCTGTTATTACTATGAAAATCGTGGTGGATTGCTAGAGATCAGTACAAGACAGTGGGACCGATGTACAGTGAGAGGCCTTTAAAAGCCTCACCTACAAGTAAAATTTAAGATTACTCAGGTATACTTAAGTATGTTGAAAGAAATACAGTGTACCTAAGTAAATTTAAAAAAACAGACTAGGATACAGTTTATAAACACTTTATAGTTTCTTCCAACTTGCTTCATTATTTAGTACTTCTTTTATCGCAAAAATACTTCCAATTGAATACCTGTTGGTTAACACTTGGAATAGTTCATGGATGGGAACTAATCGATCATTGAGAGTTATTTTGGCGGGGCTACTGTAGGGATTGTTCTTGTGATATTGGGGAATTTTTTGGACAATGAAATGCAACTTCGGTTGGTTTCGGGGATTTTACAAGTTTAAGATTCTTCCTCTCCGAAAAAGTAATTAAACTCATATCTTTATAGCTCATAATTTGACCGCCCATCAGTTAGTTTCCTCATTGAAGACATGCATAAATGGAAGAGTAATCAAGGTAAGACAGAAAATTACTCACTTGTAGGCTTGAATGACGTTGCTGTGTCGAAGGATGGAGCTCTGATGGGATGCTTAGGGTCTGTTTTGAAGGTCCGCTCATTGAACGGTACAGTTAGACTAACTGCTGGAAGCGAATCACCTCTGGTTAGGGGAGGTCTTGGTGCATGTTGTTCCTCAACACTCATCATGCGCTTTGCAGCAGGTCCTTCTCCATTAGCATGCGACAGCATCGAATGGTGACCGTCATCATCTTCGCTCGGACCAGACAGCCCTCGCTTGAGACTTATCGACTGGGGAGGCAAGGAACTTGGACGGCTATTGTTGCTATGGTGAGGACCAGGTGGGATATGGTGCGCTGCAGCAGCGGCGGCCAAATGGGCAGCGGTCGGTAACCTAACTGCCGTTCGGAGCATTTCATGCTCAGTCTCTGAAGCATTTTGCAAATTCCTCTGCATCTGAGCCGCAGCAGAGCCCCTGGGTGGAGCCGGGGTGGCGTACTCGGCCAAAAGCCCTTGTCTGGAGTGCTGTAAATTTGCATGCCCAGCCGCGTGCCAAGTTCCCGAACCAGGGGGTGGCAGAGGCGGTTGTTGACTTTGCCGATGAGCGGCTGGAGGAATCCCCACGTCTAGAGACGCCACCCCATTCTGATGCGAGGGATCATGAGCTGTGTTCGCTGACCTGTGCATGGCTGCTGATTTCGTGGCCGAGGCATGATGGTGCGAGGCACCGCTAGAACTATTGCTACTACTTCGACTTCCAGACTGACCTTCCTGGATACTGTACACCCTTTTCAGCTGACGGGTCTGTTCGAGGACTGCCTCGATCCTATCCGTACCTTCGTAGTTGACGCACCCCCGACAAACAGCCTCCGAGAAATCGTGAAGCATCGACCACGGCATCCGGGGCGATTCGCACAGATAGCACAATTGCCGTTTGCCACTGATCGGTATGACGGACATTTTCACCATTTAATTTGCCCCGCACTATGTATCCACTTCAACACCACACTCTCCGTAAACACTGTATCCAACACACTCGAAGATCACACCGCTTACATCTTCTCAACCACTGGTAGAAAAACGACCGCAGTTAGAGACGAGAGACGCGAAAAGATCACACAACCGAATTTGAATTCGAGAGAATGCCGAGATTGAAGTGCACCATTATTGGGAACGAGTAACGTGGGACGAACTGTTCACGGCGGCGGTTAAAAAAACACTAATGGCGGATGGGATGGAGGGAGATGGTGTTTCCTTCCACTTGTCCGCCTTCCCCTCCTTCCATCGGCCCCTCCTTGCATGCTTCGTGGATGCGCAGTAGAGCTGTTACGCGGCTCATTGGAGCGCATCTAGGCAGTCTACCAATGGCGGCACCGTGCTCCCGGCACAGCGAAGACTGCAAATTGACATATTTTCATTATTCAATGCCCCCCTCCCCCCTCCCGGGCCACGCCATCAACTCCGTTACGTTACGTTACTGCCACTGTCAGCGGCGGATAATTTTGCACCGTGCTCGGGCTTGCGAAGTTCACAACCAAGGCGCTTTTGTCAAGTAGGAAAAAAAGATCGCAACATTTGGACGTTTTTTTCACGAAAGGACGTAACTGCATTTCCATGTTGCCCAGTTTTCCCGCGCATAGTGCCCTTTTACCAGGATACTTTCAGGAATCCGGAACTGAAAATTTCACAATTTTTTCTTCTGATTTCAAGCGAAAATCAGAATCTTTTTAAAAGATAATTATGCAAGTTTATGTACTCCCATAAAAAATTGAATTGTTTAAGTCAATTTTGCAACCTTGGAATGGAGTTACGTTCCTTCGTGCGGGGAGCGACGATTTTATCGAATGTTTTTGGATAGGGACTGGCACTGTGGTATTAATGCTTGTTAGATTTTTATCTATTTACTGTTTATGATTTTTTTTTTCTGGTGGATGAATTGGCAGTATTTTTAATTTAACAAAAGAACAGTACCTATTTTCAGGAAATAAGACTTTATGGACCATGGACTTTTTGTCTACTAGTGAGAGTTTCAGTTTCATGAATAAGTTAAAGTATACGTGTATGCAATCCCTAACATATAAGTTTATAAAGTTTATTAATCGTACGGAGTAAAAATTGCAAAATTGAACGTATTGTAGTAACCGGCAGACTTCTGAAATTATAAAGAAAACATAAAAAATACATACATACATAAAGTCGCGATTATAGCGCCGCCTCGCGCTCTGCGACGCCCAATCGCCATTGCCCCCTATCCTCCCAGAGATCATCAGGCAATTGGCACCTTCTGATCTCCTCCTCCACCCCTTGTCGCCAACCTTTCACAGGACGTCCACGCCGTCGCCTTCCGGGAGGAACCCAATCGAAGACCTGCTTGGGCAACCGATCATCTGCCATCCTTCGCACATGTCCATACCAGACCAACTGCTTGGACCTGATATCGTGCACGATGTCCTTTTCCACACCCATTATCTCGCGTACCCTTTCATTGCGGATACATAAAAAATATAAGCCACTAAATGCATTCAAGCGCACCAGTATTTCCAAAAGAACCGAGCCAGTGCTGCGGTTTACACGAGCTTAAGATGTGAGTCTGCAAATCCATCCTTAAAAAGAATCAGACAAGAACCTGGGAAAGAAGAGAGAACGAGTATCAACACAGTGGAAGACAGGAAAGACGTGTTCGGGCCTCTTTTTTAACTTTGCTCCCGAATCCGAGCGACACCTCATCGACAGCATGTAGCAGAGCATTGAGAGGTCACGCTTCGCGTCATCGCGCCTTCAATTTTTCAGATACAGCATGGGCGTCCATCAAGTACGAATAGTTGTATCTCTGCGCCGTCGTAAACGCGCATCCTTTCCCTCCATCTATTTCCATATGTGTTTGTTTCCGTTTGTCTTATTTGTAATGGTGCTTCAAGCACTACGTGAGTAACACAGCTGAAGGTAGGAGAGATGTGTTCGGGTCTCTTTTTTAACTTTGCTCCCGAATCTGAGCGAAACCTTATTTGAAGCACAGAGCGGAGCGTTGCGAGTTCATGTCTCGAGCCATCGCGCCTTCAATTTTGCCGACGCAACACGGACATCCATCAAGTACGAATAGTTGTATCTCTGCGCCGTTGTAAACGCGCATCCTTTCTCTCCCTCTATTTCCATAGTGTTTTTGTTTCGGTTTGTCTTATTCGTAATGGTGAACTAGTAGCATAGAGCAGAGCATTGCGAGTTCACGACTCATACGCCTTCGCGTCTTATATTTTTCATATACAATGCGGACATCCATCTTGCGCGAATAGCTGTATCGCGTTTACATTTTAGATGTCTCTTATTTTTTAATTTCGAGATAAATTAAGGTTAAGTTTGCCCGAGATATGCTAATTACAACACTGATGTGTTGAAATAACTCCAACTTTAAGTTTTTCGACAAGAGGTATTGTTGCTGTGAGGAGAGTCACGAATACCAAGGAATGACGAACAGTATTAATGAAATAAAATAAAGAGAAAAGAAAAAATGAAAAAATAGAACAAATTATAGCAGCGAGTAACGATAAAAACGTTCAGATGAGCTGACGATAAGTCGGGCAGCTAATAAAATCTAGAAAGTCCGGTTGTGCAAACTAAAACGTGATTACAATTAAATTTCTAGCGCTTGGTGTTGGTAATGAACATTGTAGTGGTGCAAAGCATGATGCGGTATAGTTAATCAGAAGTCTCCTGATAAAAACGAAAATAGAAATGATTGACCGGTAAACAACTCACAGATTTGCACTTGAAGTTAATAGTGAGACCGACAATCAAAGTTGAACGTCACTTGCATATCTGAGCACTGAATGTTGCCAGATTACCATCTGATTATATGTTTATTTCATAGGGATTTTATTTATTTTTTTCATTAATATTTTCAATAACGATGTATCAGATTCCGAGTTAAATTCTTTGAAAATTGTACTGAAGAAAATTCATCAGTTTTCGAGAGAACATGTATATTAACAGAGGAAATTTGGCGATATCGAGTTTTTAATAGGTGTTTTTATTGTGGCATGGCAGTGCAGAGCTACACGGAGCTCGAGCGTGATTCAGGAGACTTATTGATAAAGAATTATTGCGTCTATTAAATCGCACGCAGAAAGTATGGTAGGGAAGCAGGGCGATCCAGGCAAATATTTTAGGAGCTATCTAATTCTCATAGACAAAAATAAAACTATTATTAATTGCACTATGTATCAGATTTCCTTCAAACCTCTCACCTTTAGCGCTACATCGTCAACTTCCGGTCAAAGTATCACAAGCGCCACGCGTCGTCAAAAATTTCCGCCGCCATTTCATTTTTTTTACAGAGAAAACGAAGGTGTCCAAAAATGTCACTGAATTTTATCGGGAGCACACAGAAAATTCAGTGAAATTTTCGGACAGCTTCGTTGAACGATTTCTCTGTAAAAAATAAAATGACGGCGGAAATTTTAAAACGTCGCATGGCGCTTATGATACTTTGGCCGGAAGGTAACTATATAGTCTACCTCTGCTCTTTCTTACCATAGATTTGCAGGAAGTAAATAATATTTTGACATTTTGGTACCAGTAAGGACCAAATTATTTGGAATGCTCTTTCCTGAGGTAGTATTCATACATTCGTTTCTAAGCCCCTCTCGCCTCTCCAGAATGATACCTAAGAAACCTCATTTTGTGACAGATTTTAGAGGATGACCGATATTAACTGGGCAAACCTTTTTAAAATGTTCGTTTTGAGCTTCTGCAAACTGCCGAAAACTCTTGCGTCGCTGTCGTTCAATGAAAAATTGGTTCCATGATTTCGCCCCTGCTTCGTGACAAATAATCACAGGCAAAAGTACTCTTGCACGCCTATTATATTACCCTGCATCTTAAAAGCTTCTACTCTTGAAACATTTTGAGTCATTTAACGTACACGCAATGCGTTACCTAACGAAAATATTGCTGATTTGATAAGCGAAGAGCAACTGATAACACACAATAATGACAAAGAATCACAAAATCTGTCACCGTAATTTTAATTTCTTCCAATTATTGAAGACCCTCTCCAATTATTGCGTTCATGACTTATTGCCTTGATTCTTTTGGAACGCTAATCCAAACCACCCGTTACTTAAAAAAACATTCTAAAATTTCATGAAAATATCCCCTATCTGTCATTTAAATGCAAATATACATTATATGACTTTTTGCCTTGATTCTTTTGGAGCGCCAATCCAAACCACCCGCAACTTGAAAAAACATTCTAAAATTTCACGAAAATATCCCCTATCTGTCATTTAAACGCAAATATACATTGAAATCACGCGGCACGCTCTCCTAATCTTGTTTATGATGCGTGAGTGAGGCCTATCTGTGACGTAAGTCATCTGTGTCAAGATCTGACGCGCATTATGACGGATCGTTGAAGTGCATCTTTTCTCTTTCACTAGGAAATGATAAGAGCGTTGACCTAGTTTTTGTGCGTTCCTTGATCTTTCCAGCAGATGACGAATGACTGAAATTCAGTGACATTAAGCTCCGCTGACCGCTTTGCGGTTATAGGGTTCCGACCGAGTAACGAGCTGATAAGCAGACAAATTAAGATAAACGGTCAAATCAAGATCAAAGCCGTAAGCAGTCATAATAAAGTTAACGTTTAGGACGGACACAGGGGAAAATAGTTTCTCTGGTGCCGCAGAAAGTGCGAGGATATGCTCCTCAAAACTTTCATACTTTGCACGGAGAAAAAAACCTCGTGCGTGGGACCCAAAGTTTAGGTCATATGGATCTCTGAAGTTTTCAGATTGAGCATCTGGACACTTTAAGTCTAGCTGTCGAGGTTCGGATCACACATCTGAAACTTTCAGTTCTTACATCTGAAGTACTTCAGATGTGAGAACCGAAGTTTTTTGGATGTGAAAACCGAAGTACTTCAGATGTGAAAACCGAAGTACTTCAGATGTATGAACTGAAGTTTCAGATGTGTGATCCAAACCTCAGCAGCTGAACCTTAAGTGTTCGGATGCTCAATCCGAAAACTTCAGAGATCCATATGACCTAAACTTCGGGTCCCACGCACGAATTTTTTTTTTTTCCGTGTGTATTGGCCCATGGTGGAGATCAAAATTTAAAGTAATGATTATTTTTTTCTCCACATAATTTCTTTCTTCTTTAAGAAACAGGAGGTCGCGAAACGCTTGTAAATAGTAAAAAACTCTACTGTTGAAGAATAAAATTGGAC